TGACCAATTTAGTCGTTTAATCACATTCTCTAAGTGAAGATTTGAGATGTGCGGAATGCGTGCACTTGTCAGATCACCTTCGGAAGCATCGGTGGAACATTGCTGATAGACAATCAAAGTTGACATAAGTTTGAGAAACGAATCACCCCATAACTCTAGTCGTTCCAGGTTCACAATATCATCCGCTCCTAATGTAGTGGTGGCCTCAAGCAAGTTCCCGACTTCTATTAGTTCGTTGTGCCGATTTGACTGTGACCATGGTTTGGTCAATGTGGGCCACATGAGGAAACCAGCAGCTTTATGATCCTGATCGCAGGCTGTGCGCAATTCGGAAAGCATGCACTTGGGCGCGTCCAGTCGGTCCGGGATCAGAACCGGATAACGGATGGGAATCGCACAATGCACAAGCCTACCCAAATGTTGGGCCAGCTCCACGCAACATAAGGCTCGATTGACTTGATACAATACTGCTGGCACCAGGGTCAGGGTGAACCAAAGCCAGGCACTCAAAGGATGCACGCGGCAATCTCTGGATTTGTACGTGATTGGATTGATCTGAAATTTACTTTTCGTTCGACATGCCCGAGCCATTTGCGGATGCCGACTCAGGCGGTAACATTCAATCGAGTCTGGGGAATGTGGATCGGGACCGGCACAAACCATCAAGCCTACATCGACCTGAGATGCGATTTCAGATCGGAGGAGTAATCCAGACCACGAAGACGGATCTACTTGATCTAATGGAACTTGTCGATAGGGTATGACACCATACTTCGCAGACAGTTTGGATGATGCATTCAACAGCGAATTTGTAAACAGTGGGACCGAAGTTTCAGATGATTGGGATAGCAGATGTTTGCAAGCCACAAAGTCGATTGTGGAGACTGAAATAAAATAAAACAAAGGGAATTAATTAAATTCATCGATGTTTGGAGCACAGTCTACGAACAAAACGAGGATAAATAACAGCAAGAATGTTGTCGAGATCCCAGAAAAAATATAGAAGACTCGGTAGTGCATAATCTCCCTCCATTGATATTTGGCCTGCACCCAAACTGGAACTCGATGAAACATCAGTACACCTTACATTCCAACATAAGTGAAGCTGTGTGAAGCAGTGGAAGAAGCACGTATCACATGACATTTTACACAAGGAATTGTATGTATCCTAAACACAACACGAACCTATGGGACGAGAGAAGCATGAGCTTGTAAGTTATTCCCATAATAAATCTTTTATCTTTGGATTGTCCACGGACAGCACAGTTGAATGCTACCGAGTGCTTTGAACCTTGTGGGCTGAGGTTCGAGCCCCTCCCCCGCCACCCGACTTCGGTGGTAGGCAGATCTGTTGTCGTCCGGTTCATTACCACGCCTAACCTTTCGGGGTCTTATGTGGTTCACCACTCTAAATCCCGAGGCTTAGGTTGCCGGTTTTCACCACTGAACAACAGGTCCTCGTGACTATGGGGTTTACCTTGTCTACTGTTCATCACACGAAAGTATGTAACGAAAATTTTGAAAAAATAAGAGGGAGAGAAATCGGATAAAACTGTGTCCGCAGAATAGTGCCAGCTTTTGCGAGAAACCAATGAGCTTTTGAATCGTGTTGATTGGTCCTAGATATAACCGAATCACAATCATTGCATTAAAACCACCATGATCGTTCATCAAAAAGCCACTCGTTGAAGCACACAGATGAATAGGCGCATACGCTAAAGATAAACCGCTCACCAGGCCACTTGACAATACAAAGCAATCCGCAAACCAACGCATTGTTAGGGTCGTAAACGAACTGATCAAACAAACGAGAGTTCTCCTCGAACGGAACCGATGCAGTAATTGAATACAAATCTCTGGTGATTATTTCACATAAAAATTCGCATAGAACGTGGTGTGTGGACCGGACGAGATCAAAGTGCTCCTGAGACAAAGGAAACTGGTTCGTGCATTCAATTTGGGCCCGAACCATGCCGTTTGAAAGGTACAGTGGAATACGACACAATTGGGTAATCTGTGATAACGAGAGGTCATCAAAAATGGAAACCATTTATTACAAGAGTTGCCAATTACATCGCGCAACATAATGTATGATAAAACTGACTACAACACTAGGTAAACCAAAGTAGCAGCTATTTCAATAAGCAGATTTTGAGATAAATAGTGAACCAGTCTTTAGAAAAAAACGCACCTCCTATTACTTTCGCAATTTTTTCATACATTATTTTCGCTTCTTCTGCTGACGCACACATGGCTTCTTTTATCGCGAGGAGCTGTAAATCACATCAGTATTATGCATATCGTCTGTGTTCCAATCAGTCATCATTATCATCATTGCACTGGGTAATACAGCGGAACGAACTTCACTGATCGTTGCCAAACTCATTTTGCATACAGAGTAAATGAGAATGTGCAAGCAGGATAGGGATTGGACCTAATTTTAGGGACGGGAAAAGAAAGCGAACCTCTATGGTCCACAAGAAGAGCACACAATCTAACTGCGTATACGTACTATACTATTACTATACTACATACTGTTTCAAGCATTTCTGGTCTGATAATAAGTGACAGCATGATCGCCATTGCTATCGGTTCGTAACCATGACCTTCAGTGTCTCCAATCACGCGGTTTCGGAGTCTTTTGAACCCCATCCCGAAAAACGACCGACGCCTGCTCTACCCAATCGCTCTGTGCATTTCTTCATGCCTCGTCTCCACGTCATCTGCTGGCCTCCACGTGGCTTTCTCCAGCATGTGACAGTCACTGCAAACAAGGCGCGTTGTAGTAGGCGACCGTCGGACACATGCAAAACGTGTCCTAACCAACGGAGCCCATAGAGCTGAATTCGATGCGATAGCGAGTTCGTGTTCAATGCATTCCCAAATACCCGACGACTTCTAGGTTACTAACCCGCTCACTCAATCCCACTTGGGTCAAACTACGTAAGAAACGATTTTCGAAAACCACTAAGTGACGGATGCCCTCTACCCGACAATTCAACGTCTCATAATTGTAAAGCAGAATTGATAGTACAGTGGAGCAGTATACGCAACTTTTCAACTTCAGTGGAACGTCACGTCACCGCCACAGATGTTTTAGTCCTGCGTCCACTGCTCGAGCCATGGAAAGGCGGGCGATTATCTCCTTTGATGCGCTACTGTCGTTGGTCACGCAGCTACCTAAGTACGAGAAGCATTCAACTTCAGCTAATTCCTGATCGTCTAGTTTCAGAGCAGAACTCGGCGACACCCAGTCCTGTAGCATTACTTTGCACTTTGAAGGTGCAAAGCACCTGCCGAACGGAGCGACAGAACTTGCTAATCTGGCAAGTGATCTGTGTGCATCCTCCAGACATTCGAACAAGCAGACGATGTCGTCAGCGTACTCCAAATCGCACAGCTTTTCTCCAGCTGCCCATTCAATATCAACATTTTGGAAACCACTTAGTGCGTTCTCCGGCATTTCGTCTATGATGAAATTGAACAGGAATAGCGAAAGAGAGCACCCTTACAAACACCGCTGCTAATTATGAACGATATACCCAGCCCCCAGTCGACACTTACGCTACCAGAAGTATGCGAGTAGAGTGAACGGAGTATGTTCACGTACTTCCGCGGCATTCCTTTGCGAAGGAGCGAACCCATAAAGAATTCACGATCAACTGAGTCGAAAGCTCCCTATAGATCAAGGGACACGACAACCGTTGGTCGACGGTACGTATGGCGTATCTCAAAGACATGAAGATTTGATCGATACAAATGGACTTGGTCGAAATCCTGTTGTTCGCGGATGTTTGTCTCTCTAAACGGTGTCAGATGTCGAAGTATGATGGAGGCTAGTAACTTGGTGACGATTGGGATCAAACTTATTCCACGGCGGTTTGCGTAGTCNGCGAGATGCCTTCTTAAAAATTGGTGCGATCAGCGATTCGCTCCAGGATGATGGAATGTGCTCACGTGACCAGATGTTACGCATTATATCAGTAATGGAGTCTACAAGGTCATCACCCCCATCTAAAAAATAGACGGAGGAAGCCCGTCCGGACCTGCTGCCTTTCCTTTCTTTTGAGCTTGGATGTAAGAACGAACCTCTGCTGTTGTAGGAGGTTCAGACGACATTGCCCACGGAGCCTCAGCTACACCGAAAGACATAGCCTGGTTAGCGCCTGGACAACTGAACTGTTCGTTGAAGTAATCTGCCGCCGGTCAAACCGTTATTCTCTATTGGGAATATCTTGTCTACTTCTGTCACAAATTGTTTCACAAACTGTGGTTCGGCAACCTCTCGTATTGCGTATCAGTTGGAACAGTCTTCGGATATTCCATGGGGCGGGTGCTACTTCCATTGCACTAGCTATAGTTTCTCACCATTTCTCAGTCTTTCTTGAGGCTCGTATTGAGTTGACGTTGCAGACACCACCTAACCCTGCCTTGATCCCGGGTGGTTGGGATTTTCCGCTTTTTCTCCATCAGTGTTACTGACTGCTCAGATATCCAATGCCTCTGACAGGCTATCGTTTCCGATCTAGAAGCAACCGTCGCTGCGGGGTGCATTCTTTTTCTAATCTGATCCCATCATCCACGCCGAAGCGCGTTTAGCTCTTGCACTAGTTCTGATTCAAAACGGGTACGAACGGCTGGGCCAGATAAACGATCATCTACCAATCGAGTCTAGTGGGATTTTCTGGGACTAGTGAGTTAGTTGGAGGGTGAACTGCATCAAAACCCATGTGTGGTCAGACTCAACGCAGGTGGTCCAATAGGACCTGTGATTTTGCACTGAGCAACGCCAACGATAGCTTAATGCTCTGTGGTCGATTTTAGTTAGTGTACCAGTTAAATTGGAGCACCACGTTGCTGTTCGTTGAGAGCTGTGACGGAAGTTGGTGCTGGCTACGAACGGATGATGATTAACGCAGAACTGAAGAATTCGATCATCATTATCTGTTCGCTGGCAGCGCAGAGTACAATGACAGCCTAGGCAGGCTTACTATGCACTCACTTTTCCAACTTGAGCGTTAAAATCACCTGAGAGAACAGCTATATCGAAGTTTCGGTTCAATCGACTGAATTCGATGAGTATGTCATAGAACTTGCCTTTTTGTGCGTCAGAATTGCAGTTAGTACCGACTAACTGTCGGTATAGATAAATTGAATCAATGAACAACCATCCTACTGTGTTCTTTCCTAGCCGCACGCTGACAGAAGTTTAGAGACACATCGCACATAAGCGACTCTTCACCGGAATTAATCGAGTAGTGCGGCTTCGGCTGTATTGTTGAGTACAATGCCCACACCACGCTACCTACTGAACGGGCTTCGATATCACCTGACGTGTGGAGGATGAACCCCGAAGACAACCCCGGGGCACTCAAGTGGCTTGTAGTACTATGATCCTGGATTCGCGTCTCCGAAACGCAGCTGACATCAATCCCCAAAGAGTCCATTGTACGCACCAGACACGCTTGTTGACCTACGTGCATCAGAGTCCTCACGTTGAAGGCCCCCAATTAGTACCATCGGCTCATGCAATGTTACTGCGACAACAGACTTCTCACTAAATAGTTCTTGACCATGCAAGCAAGAGATGCGCACAGGACCCCAGCGCTTAACCTCTATGAATTTCAACGGCCGTTACGCAGGTTACCAGATAGGATTACCGCATGACGCTTGCTGCAGCAGGTAGTGAGTGGAAGAAGGCCTAAAATAATCAAACTTAAACCTAGTGTGATGGTATGAAAACCATGACCAAGCAACTTGGACATATGGACCGCGATAGCCCTTCAGGCTCAGTTGAATCAATGTTCAAAAACATTAAGTGATGCAGCTGAGTATCGGAAACGGTGGCAATCGTGCAACAACTCAATTTCTTCGTAAATTTAATAAAACTGCATATTGCATCTTCAACCAATATGAGAAACAACCTTCTCTAGTAGACCAGGGGTCTTGAGGAAACGATCACGAGAGTTAAGCCATCTGTTTGTCGTGATTCTGCATACAGATTATAGAAGGTTATCGCGACCGAACGGGAACACATGATCTACTTACGAAGGGGGCAGACAGGCCAGAAATGAAGGATGACATGAAGCAATCCAAAATGCAGTCTATACAAATGTCTGAGAGAGTCGGAGATTAGAACCGGAGAAACCCGTGGTTCGCGTGAAAGAGAAGAACTCGATTTAGTGTAAAAGTGATGCGATTGGTTACCCAGGTTGAAAAATCAAAAGCACTATGAGTGCTTTTGAACAAATAAAACCGTGTCTCCGATCGATTAAAGGGATTCCGTAAAGCGATATGATCACAAAATTACGATCAGATACAGCGGTTTTATTTCAAAAAACTACAAAAGACTTCGATTCATACATCATTGCCCGATCGTATGCGCACCAAAGGTTTCGATACAATTCAATTGCCGTGCAGCTGAAATTCTATTTCTATAGTTATTAATCTCTGTATGTTTGTACACGCTCATTCACCATAGTTGAAAAACCTCGCGTGCTATAAATGTGCCTATTTTTTTAGGTAAGCGATTATTCAAACGAATTATTAACATCTCGTGATTTTATCTTATTTCCGTATTGATGAAAATCAAATAATTAAATAAGAGTAGCTTAACACATTTTTACTGAACACAAATGTACAACTATTGTGAATGTTACAATATTACTTACACAGCGATGTCGGTGAGGTAAGGCGGTGGGCTGTAGTCATAAAGGCCCTGTCTGGGGATATATAGCGGAGGGGGGGGGAGTTGAGTAATGGTGGTGAGATTTAAACACACTTTCTCCGGAGCGTTCAGTTGATGGACATAGCCAATTGACCAGCGTCGCCCTAAGCTTCAAACACGTGAGTTCGCGTGATAGCTAAATCGCTCTGATCAGCGATGCGGTGCGTAATAAAGGGACTTCAGGAAAATATTAGAAACCGGAACATCAGAGACTGAAACACAAAGAGCCTCATGCGCACCAGATTAATCGCCATCAGCCACCGCTGGAGAGGATCCATTGAAGACTGCCGCTCCTACTGGTCAACACCCGTAGACACGGACCATGCTCTCCTACGAGCGAGATTCTCCCTACGCCTGATAAACAACCGCAGAAAAGCCGCCGAAAACGGATGCCCACCATACACTATCACCGACAGTTGCAAATCGGCCTTCGAAGCGGAACTATCAGATCGCCTCTCAACTCAACCATCAGCCGGAGGACTCAATGAACACTGGTCGGCAATCAAGGAAGCGATCCAAATTTCAATCAAAACAACGGCGAACTCTGGCGCACGATCAAAGCAAAAACGATGGATCTCCTCAACCTCGGTTGCCCTGATGGACGCTCGCAAAGCCATTCCATCGGATTCAAGATACGACAAAGCGCGCAAATCCCTTAAACGCCAGCTCATCAAGAGTCTGAGGAATGACCGCGAGAAGTGGTGGGTAGGAAAGTGTAGAGAGATGGAGAAGGCTGTGGCTATTGGTAATAGGCGCAATCTTTTTCGTTTAATTAGGAGTACAGGACCAAGGAAAGCAGGCGTAAGTGAGGTAATTAAGGAGTCCGATGGCGCACTGATTCAAATTCAGGAACGTCGTCTTGAACGTTGGGCAGAACATTTTAAGGCACAGTTTAGCTGGTCCCCTTCGACACAAGACTTTCCCCCATTCGATTCAACTGTGCAAATACTGCCAGTTGACATCAGTCCTCCATCTGAAATAGAGGTTACCCGAGAAATACGCTATCTCAAAAGGTATAAGGCTTCCGGACCCGACGGGCTGTCCCCATCCGTTTTTAAGAATGGAGGTCCAGCCTTGGTTTTTGGAGTTAACAAAATTCCTGGGCTCAGTGTGGGAGAGGAACGAGGTTCCAACTGAATGGTGTGAATCGGTGATCATACCGATTTACAAGAAGGGCCACAGATCCTCTTGTGAAAACCACAGAGGAATTATTTTATTCAACATTGAATCTAAACCTCTCGCCGGGATCATACTCCGTCGATTGTCTGCCGCTCGTGAAGAGTGCACACGTTAGAACCAAGCCGGTTTTAGACCTGGTCGACGTTATATCGACCACATCTTTACTCTTCGTTAAATCCTAGAACACAGACACTTTTCGTAGACCCACCATTGCCATCTTCCTCGATCTGAAAGTGGCTTTCGACTCAGTCGACCGCTCTAAACTCTGGCGCTGCTTTTCCCTGAAGGGATTGCTCGAGAAGTTAATCGCAATATTACAATCCCTCTATAATAATAGCCGAAGCCGAGTCCGAGCTTACGGCACTTCCTCACCCGAGTTCACCACGGAAAGTGGTGTTCGTCAGAGTTGCCCAGTCTCTCCATTTCTATTTAACTTTGTCATAGATCTGATTATGGAAACAGCCCTATCCTCGTGCAGGGATAGCGGTGTCGATTTACTTCCGGGTGGCAGACTGTCTGATCTAGAGTACGCAGACGACATTGTGCCACTAAGTGAAGATCCAGGTAAGTTGCAAGCTTTTCTGGATAGTTTGAGTGCTAGTGTTGCCATGTTCGGTATGCGTTTTGTACTTTCACAGTGTAAAATGATACTACCAGATTGGGTTGATCCAGCACCCAGTCTCACCCTAACTGGGGAAGTAGTAGAGGAAGTAGACAAATTTTACTATCTGGGTAGCTATATCTCACCCGGCGGACGCATCACAGATGAAGTGTCGGTGTGCATACATAAAGCTTGGTTGGCATTTGCCAACTTGAGACATCTGTGGCGCCGTCGCGACATCCGGTTGTCTGTGAAGGGTCGAGTGTATGCTACAGCAGTTCGGCCAGTCCTGCTCTACGGCGCAGAGACTTGGTCACTAAGGGAACAGGATAAAAATAGATTGTCGGTGTTCGAACACCGCTGTCTACGTAGCATTGCACGTGTCTGGTGGGATAACCGGACTAGCAATGCTGAGGTTAGGCGTAGAGTTTTAGGCAGTCGCGGTCGTCCACTAGAGCAAGTGATCGACCTGCATTGATTACGCTGGTTGGGACATGTGCTACGCATGTCACCAGATATGTTACCGTGGCGAACGATGTTTGCCAAGGCTGGTAGCGATTGGAATTAGATAAAGGGCGGTCAAACTAAGACCTGACATGAGGGTATGAAAACCCCAACCAGGAGACTAGGTCACATAGACCCCGTTAGGCTCCCTGGCCGGAGACCTCGGGGTGATGATCACCGATGGTTAGAGACACTGAGTGATATAGCTGGGTATCGCAAACAGTGGCGCTCGTGCATCCGCTCGTTATTCTCGTAACATCACTCTGTATGAATTCCTCATCTTCCGCTCGAATTTGCTTCGACATTTTAATTTACATCTTGCTCTTTTATCCAACTGGGCAACCAAAAGACAGCAACCAAAACCGGCGCACGAATATGCATGGTTGATTGTTGTAAAAACTGAACTGAACTGCACCAGATTAACATGAGGGTCAACCCGGACATTGAACACCCTCAGATTCAACGGAAGTTTTTGTGATAACCGACAAAGAGCATTGTACAGCTGTTTGGCCCTGTTTGGGACTCATCAGCGGTGCGCACTTTTCTGTCAGGACTCGCGCCGCGAACAGTCGGATCAAGACTTGAAACCCCTGCTGACGAGTCCCAAACAGAACGAAACAGCTGTCCAGCGCTCCTTGTCAGTTATCAGAAACATTTCCTTCATATTTAAATGCATTCAACTAGTGGGGAACTAACGATCTTCCAAGGAGTGAAACCCACATCCAAATACATCAAGAGTGCCCGGCGCCTCTGAACAATCTAATCCAAGCTAGATACTCTAAACCCTCAGGTTTAATGTGAGGAAACTGTGATTACCCCACTACGACGTACACAACCACTGCGCAATGTTTGGAAAATAATTTACTGCTCAAAGCCAGTAAAAACTCAGGAGTTTAAGATGATGAAGAGCTAAAAAGAGAGTGAAATGTTCGAGTAACTAGATTGGACTCGTAACCGCCTAACATAGTCTTGCGCGAAGACTGTTGTAGAATGAGCATAAACGTATTAATAGCTTCCACTGGGGTAAATCAACTTTTCGAGTTAGATTTAGAAAAGTTTTAATTACAATCCGGATCACGAATAACTTTTACAAGAGATAATAATGCCGCTGTTCCGTCTGGAAAATAGCCACAAGCAGAACAAAAGTCGACAAACACACTGCTGGGTTTATTTGGACATGCCGAAAAATCGTCACTCATACATGACGTCAATACATGTATCTGCCTGATAATACAACACGTCAAATACGTACAAGAAGCAGATGCACCAATGCTATAAGTTGCAACGATAAGATGTATCATAATTAACAACCCACCAACCTCGGCCAACGGTTTCGAGAATAACAGTCCAATTGTCTGAACAGCCCGACCGAAACACTTCGAACCGACGCCAACTAATTCTGCGACCAGATTGGGATGCGGCAAACGAAATTCGTAGAGAAAATAGTTCATGTTTGGGGCTGGAATTTCTTGATAGGGATGAGACGACACTTTTGCAGTCTATGTGAAAGAGGAAGATGAAAGTACGATAATGATAACAATGATACAAAGAATACAGAATCCGTAAAGTTGAAAACTGGACATGAAAAACAAATGCGAAAACAGAAAATAGAAGCGGCAGTCAAGCGCTCACCAATGAGCAAAGAGGTACAGAATTTAAGATTTAGGTCCCCACTTAATGTTAACTAATTTGTTTCATTGATTTTCATTCTGACATCAAATAAGATCTCTGAGTTCAGAGGAATCGAACTGCTTAATGAATTCCGCCGAAGGTTAGAGAAAACGCGTATAACCTGTTGTTAGAAATTCCAACCTATGTTTAACTATTTGTCTTCCATACCAAACCCTCTGCTTTTGGTCTTCTTCGGACCCGCAACATTAGTCAGACAACTTGTTTGTCAGTCGCTAAAGCTTATAGTCAAAGAGTGCTGTGTCAGTAGCATTCCAATGAATAGATTGCAAATCTTGAGGCTTCACCAACCTTCAATCTGAGGACTCTGATGCAAGTGGGTCAACCAGTTTGTCTGACGCGTCCTATGCACTCTGGAATTTGATGTTAGTTATGTATCAGAGACAGGAATTCAGGATCCTAGAGTCATAATCCACTGGGTTTGTCCGCGAGGCATTTCCTTCGTACATCAGGAGACAATGAAACCCGCTCAATAGGTCAGCGTGATGTAGGAATCGTACTAAACGATAAAGCTGAGGCCTTGCTGATTGGATGCCCGTCAATAGTCGTTTGTGGGCAATGGAGCTCCAGGGTTCAGTTAATGTTCGGAAGAGAAGCAACATCAAAAGGTATTTTTATGATTTCTGTATATACATCAATCAACTGTAGTCCCCATCTGCAAAAAGACTAACTCATTCGTGTGAGCCGCAGCTCTCATACTATGGTGCTCGCATTAAATCGATTGTTCTTATCTAGCACCAACTTTCAACACAGCTCTCGCCGGACGGCTACATGGTGTTCTAATTCAACGAGTAAATGGGAAATTGCAGATCCCATTGAGTTTGATCACGTACTAGTTTCTATGCGTTTCACGCTTCGGCTCATCGGCGAAAATCACCTCCTCAGTTAGGTCTGCATCGTCTGCGCAACTCCGGTATTTTCACACGTTATGAGGAAAAGCTGGGACAGAAACTAAGAGCACTGCGAGATGATGGAGCAGATCAACTGTGTGGTCAAATAGATTGCGATGCATTCGACAGCAAACTTTGCTCTTGGGACGCAGCCCCGAGTTCGTCGAAGATACTGGATCTCTCGGAATTCAGTAATCCTGATGGAACGAGAAAGCGAAAGATCCTAATCTACCAGGACCAGGAAAGGAAACGGTGGCGTTTGCAACGTAACTCAGGAAAAGACTTAGGAAATATCGTGAAAACCGGTGAGCCAAAATAGCCAGTGAAATGGACGTAGCCTCTGCACCAGGGAATACTCGAAGACTGTTTCACCTGATACGCATCACCGAAGGTCGATGCATTCCGGTCAGAGAGGACTTCTGCGATAAAAGTAGAGAGTATCCGCCATAAAGAACAATATTTTGATCGCTGGGCAGGGAATTCTGGTGAACAGTTCAACTGGCCTGGTACCGATGCGATTATTCCGAAGATTGCAGCGGAAACTCCGTGGACGGTGATATGTGAGCCTCTAAAAGAACTGGGAGTACTAAACTGTGTTCAATCGCTAAAGAAATGGAAAGTAGAAGATCTTGAGGAGCCTCTCTTCACTCGGGTTAAGCTGGAGCTTGACTCAATTATTAGCTTACTTCGCAGCATCTGGCCGGAAGGGAGTATCCCTTTATTCTGGTGTGAATTATTCCCATTTGCACACGAATTTGCAAATGACTGCGAGATAAGTTTAGTTCCGATCATCACAAAGGTGGTAACTTCCGTAATACTCCGTTCTCTAACACCTTCAAAGGAAATGAATATTCGCGGAAGGCAAGCATCATTCAGACCAGATCGCGATTGCATCGAGCAAATCATAAACCTGCGTCAAGTCCTTGAATTACGCCAAACACATCACCGACCAAAAACCGCAGTGCTCCTCGAACTCAAAGGAGCCTTCAATTCAGTTGACCGCGAAGCACTAACGGGTTTGCTGCTTCCCAAAGGAAAGCCGCAGAAGTATGAAAATCTATTGAGATCCCGGCACATGCATACTTCTAGCAGCGTAAGGCTCTATGATGGGCTGAACGAATCCTTCAAAACTAGCAGCGGTTTATGACTCTATCAGCTTCGTCGTAGACGAAATACGCTAAAACGCATTAAGTGATTCACTGTACGAAGATGATAAGTACGTTGACGATATCGATTGCCTGTTCGAATGTATGCAGAATGCGCAAAGCGCTCTTGACAGACCTCCAAGTTATGTAAACCCATTTAGTATACGCTATGCATCTTAAAAGTGCAGAGTAATACTGTGATGTGATGCTTGACGGTCAAGAATTGGTTATAGTGGATTGTTCGTCTCATTTAAGTAGTTGTATGACAAATGCCAGTAGCACAGTTAAGGAAGTAACCATCCACAGTCCCAAGGTATGGGTAGCGTACGTAGGCCTAAAACAACCTCGGCGCCGACATGATATTTCCTTCAAACTAAAACGTCACGTACAATGCGCCATTGTGAGGTCAGTTCTGATTTACAGTTGCAAGACCCTAAATTAGCGCGTGGAAGGTATTCATTGTGTAGAAGTCTTCGACTGTCAATGCTTACATGGTTTGGCGCTGGCTGGATGGATTGAGCGAGTAAGCAACATTGGTGGTGGTGGCCCGTTAGTAACGTCACCAAATTATCACCCCGGGAATGTGTTCGAATCCCACCACAACCGCCTGTCTTCCCCATTGTGTGTTGCATGGCAGCCATTTGATTGGCCGCTTCCCTCTTCCTGAAATATGTAGCTTAGTATATTCAATAAAAGGAATCAAAGTGGAAAGATGAAAAAAGGTAAGCATTTGGTAATAATTCGGAGGATAATTCCTTATCACATGCAATTCAGATAAGTAGGGTTCGCTGGTGATGACACGTAGTGCACATGCCCAACTGTCGTCTACCACACCGAGACTTATTTGCAGTTTCGCCCCTGGGTGAGAGGAAATCCAGTAGAGATCAAAAGATAACTTGGAGACCAGGTATGAGAAAATGAGCAGAGTGATTAGGTAGAGCAGATGTACGGTTTTTCAAGTTGGGGTCCAAACGACTGCAACTGGTTAGTAGAAGACAGTGAATGACATGGCAATTAATCGACAGCAGTGGTGTTCTTGTTATCGCTTCTTATTAGTGCAGAATGTACAGTTGGGTTGTGTACTCCGTGTGTTGACTATGGAGGTTCTCTTCCTTTCTTTCCTTCGCTTCCTTCCCTCTAATTAGACCCAATCCTTGTTTGTATTATATATCCTCGCTTACGATGTGAACATTGTATCAATAAGCAAAGTTCGCTTCACTGTATTTCGTTGTACGATGACGGCAGAAAATGTTACGAAATTTTGATGAATCGCTATGAAAAACACGGATGTTTGTTTACTTCGTAGGTATTGAAATAGAACAGAGCCGGAATTTTGTACGATTTCCCTTATGATACAAAATCGTGGTTATTTACAGGGAAGTGGGAAGATAAGGGAACGCATATATCAAACGATTCGTTGACTGGATTGCTGTCAAACGTCTTGATTGGTTGGCAGGTCCGACCAATCACTTAAGTTTGTCTATCCTTACCTTGATTGGTTGTCCCAGAACAAGGTAGATTTCAGGAAACATGCTGTCTCCCAGACAGATAGAATAAAAGGTGGATTTGTTCACTGTATCTTAGCATGAATTACGATGTTCCATCTTGGTAAACAGATAGTTTCCTAACAAATAAAACTAAATACGACTGAATTTTCCAGTAAGGTGCATTCAAGTACAATGCCATAATTTGAAATTTGAGAAAGCGTTCCCATCTTCTAGTAATATTTTGTACTACGCAGGGGTGACCCGGTGGTAAAGTCACTAAATTACCACCCGGGAGAACGCGTGTTCGAATCCCACTACCACCGCCAGACTAGCATTGCGTGGGTATTGAATCCGCTTTGCTCCCTAGATAGACTTACCCTAATCATAATTCAAATTCCATGTACCTTTCCCCAGCCATCCTTCATTAGCACTTCATTTGTCATTTTTTCTCTTTCTTACTGGACGTGCAACGCCTGAGTTGACCTAATGATTCTATCGATCGGTTCGACTGTGTTTCCTCATTCGTGACTCGTACCACCTTCGAAACTTAGTTGCTCACCCCCAACACTTCAAACTCTCCTTAAGTGTAACCCGTTTGCTACCACTGGTCCATCGATCGAAACACGCACACAAGTTCATTATTCTCATCCTTCACGTACTTGGTATTTTGCACCCGTATATTTGATTGGTTGACTGTCAGCCATTGACTCTTGTACATGTGTGCTTGCCACCTAAGGAATTCCGACCGTTGACTTTCATCGAACTGCATGTACCCACAGTCGTTGAGTCGAACGCTTTGAGAACCTTTCAAGGCTCCTTTGAACACAGTAAAACGTTGTTTTTCTCTAACGCACAATCGTTNTGCGCCCTGACATTACAAATACGCACCGCTCACTTTTCCACACGCTTCGAGGTTTGTACCTACTTTAGAATAGCTATTCGTTGCCTATAATAGTACCGCATTTCAAGACATACTCGTCTTCTGATGACTTCGGGATTTGAGAGTCACTCGATTGTTAAGACGGATTTTCAGTGTGCAATCCACATCATTGAAACTTCTCCAAATACCCTACAGTATGGCAGCCGTTCGATTGGTGGCATCCCTCGCCCTGAAAATTGCATGCATTCAATAGAAGGAATGAAAATATGAAAAAAAGAAACAAATAGTTTTTTTTCGATTTGAGTCTGTAGCACTCCATCCTCTAGAAGAATTGCAAGTAGATGTACGGGAAGTCAAAAAAGCCTCGCGAGCAACAAAAATCTGAACACACTACTTACAAAGGCCGAAAATCACCCTGTAAGAGACCAATAGGTAAACCCTGTGATGTGATGCATACACTCGGTCAAGGATTGTACGAATTATGTCGAACGAAGCACCACCAGGGCCAGCTATTTACTCGTGGAACCAGCGAAGAATATTGTTGTGATTGGGTGGCGAGAATCGGAAGCAGAAAAGAGCCAGTTAAATATCCCAATGAAAAGTATACACTGAAAACAGGGATGGAGATGACATCACGGAAGCTTTTAACATGAACAAAAGATAAATTCTATTTCATAATTGTCTGAAGATACGCACAGACGAACGAACGATCGACAGCAATGCATAAGCTTGACCGACCCGGTTTCAAACCCTACCCTCTTCCACATCTACAGACAAACACATATACGCACACACACACACACATAACTGTGCTAGCGATAAACATAGGACTGAACTTCTTCGATTTGTACAAATCTTGGGGTCCCATGGTGTTTAAACCCTATTAGTTTTCTGAAACTTACTTCAACAGGTATTTGGAGCAAGCTTGTAGAGTTAGACACTATGGATGAATCAGTTTCACAAGAATTCACATTAGACATGGGATTAGCCGGTAGATCGGACCGTTTGTCCAACGATGATGAATTTCGATTCTAGAAAAGAAGAACCAGCATGAGGGAGAAAATAACAACTGCGATGTTATATCAGACTGAATCGGGTAAGTGCAAACAGAAACTGAGGAAAACGTGGAAGCGGACGTGAAACACCCAGAGAAATCAGTGAAAGCTGAAGAATAAAATCGTCTATTCTGAGGTTTGGAGAGTTGCCATCCCTAAACCGGAGAAACCAAATATATCGAACGTTCAAATCGTAGCACTGAAACATCGGAAAACCCGTCGCCTAGAACATATATAGAAGTTTGAGGTAAGGATTACAGAAGCAAGAATAGCAATGATACAACCAACCAAAGGTGAAACTTATGAGATAACGCAAGCAATTTCACCCACTATGAAATATGTTGCCGTTATCATCAAACCGGTATACGGAAACACGTCATCGAAAGGTGCACATCAATCTCAGACGGTTCACGAAAGCTGTTGACGATGGGTTGTTTCAGTCTACCAGCCTTCCACTCCGTGCAAAATTTGCTTAGCAAAAGATGCATAAGGTGCTGCCAGGAATTGAGAGCGCTGTGACCTAGTACAGTGACAACGTCACCCCTGTTACTCCAGATAACGTTTTACAACCCGTGGAATGTGTTTCACAACTCCAGGTATCGTCTTAGATTAGACAAATGTGACTTCGCTGTGCTCTCGGTTCCATGCCTAGTTTTCATTATTGACGAACATGGTTGCCGACCCGATTCGGACAATAAAACAGACACGCCCACGAGTGGTGTTGGTGGCGCGGTGGTTTAGTTGCTGTCACCGGCGTGCGTTGGACCCTATGGTCCGAGGTTCGAGCCCCGCCACCGCCACCCGACTTTGGTGGTAGGCAGCTCTGCTGTCGTCCGGTTCAATACCACGCCTAACCTATCGGGGCCTTATGTGGTTCGCCACTCCAAGTTCCGGGGTTTAGGTTGCCAATTTCAACCACTGAACAGCATCAGGTCCTCGCGACTATGGGACTTTCCCCGTCCGCTGTTCATGACATCTAGGTGTGTAATAAGAAAAAATACGTAGCGTCCTTGTGATCATTCCGGGATCTGATGAGCCACGGTTCAGAAGCTCATTTCCTTCTCTGGAAGTATTTGAAGGCAGTTTCCAAAATAGACGTAAAAGAAGCGTTAGAATGACTCGCGGAATCATCGAAGAGGACCACTCGAGTGACTCTTTGTAGTAAGTGTATGCCAGGCACATACTTGCCATCCTTTTAGCTTTAACTTCCGTTTGCTGATAAAAAAATAAGATCTTTCGGATATAGTTTGAATACGTGAATTTATACAAACTGGTGCATTTTTAAGGAGAGACGTAGCTGATGGCCTACATTGACGATAAACGTATAGATTTAGAAAATTTTTCATCACTGGGTTGATAGCCTTGCTCAATACCCGTGTGGTGAGGTAATAATCATTTGTGACTAGACTTTGGTGCGCGCACAAAGAGGAGATTAGTGAATTTTCACGGCAACCGAGTGTGGATTAAAAGATTTGTTATTGTAACTGTCAAAGAGATGATCGAATCGACGACCATTGATGAGGAGACTTTGATGAAACGAAAACGAGCTTGTTCGTCACACTGTTGTTTGTTTGAAACTACTAACCATTTGTTGCAGAACAAATGTTTCTTTCTGTAAAATATTATCAACCCCTATCCATGCTGTTTATCCAATAAATAACTCTCCTCAGTCTGGTACTAACTTGTGCATAGAGTATCAGAAAAACAAGAATAGTGATATTTTTGGTGGCCATGGTAAATCCAGAACGCTGGCTGACTGCTTCTGTACGCACAAGAGGGGAGGGGTTGCTCAACCGAAGTGATCGCTTCAGCTGTAGACAGTAAGCAATGCTTGACCTGCTTTGATCTCACCCCGGTGATTGTGTAGATGAGCCTGACCGATTCAGTCATTCTTACACGATTTTCGATTTCGAACAAATGAGCCGTGATTGCGGTCCCCCAATTGTCGCCAATCCGCGACTAAGCCAGTTGGGGTGGTGTTTTCGAATGCGTTCGGCCAAGCGGCGGATGGTACGACCTTCCTTGAATTATGTGATTTTGTGACCTATAAAAGAGTGCTGTATTTGGCTAGTAAATGATGCTTCGAAAACGAGCTTGTTTGCCAAATTCACTTCTTGAAACAAGGTGTTCACTTCAGTTTATACAAATATTAACCATGCACTTTCGTGCGCCGGTTGTGGGTGCTGTCTCATGACTGCCCATTGGGATAAAAAAGAAGAAGGAAGAATAGAATTTTGTCAACACAGCCAAAGAAAATATAGAATTTATATGGATTATGCTTGCAAGGATAATGAGTAGATGCACAAGAGCCACTGGATGCGACACCCCCCCCCCGCCATATCACTCAGTGCCTCTAACCACCAGTTACGATGATCCCAGGGTCCCTAACCAGGAAGCGTAACGCGATCCTTGTGAGCAAGTCTCCTGATTAGGCTTTTCATATTCTTGTGCTAGGTCTGAGTTTGGCCAGCCTACTTTTTTCAACATAATATCTCTCCGCAAACAGCACGCCCTGTGGCAATCTATCAGGTAACATACGCAGCACATGCCCCAACCAACGCAGTCTATGCAGGTCAACCACTTGTTCTAGTGGACGACCGCGATCACCTAAAACTCTGCACCTGAACCTCAGCATTTCTAATCAGGATGCCCTACTAAACTACGGCAGTATGACGTAGAGGATTTTCCAAACGGGTACATAAGAATTTGGGGCACGACATACTTCGCGGTAGCGCATACCGAGGCGTTTTTCTTTGTGAATCCTGACCAGACCTTTGGACTTAGAAGGCAGTGTGGTGTAGATCCTACGCGAGTGCATAACTGAAGCACTCGTGTGAGAGCTGTTGACTCGTACTGAACCATCCAGACGAACGGTGCAGAGTCGGCTGTTAACCGGGTTCCAATCGAGAAGTGAACGCTCGGCTTTGACACTCAGCGCAATCCCAACACCAGCAAAACCACGAACTTCGGATGTTGAAACGCCTGAAACACAGAGAGTGGAGCGTGAGGATGAAGTTGGATCTGGAGAACGCAAGATGATCGAAGTAGGGTCTTGTATGCATGTTTCGGAGACAGTATACATCTAAATGGAAGGTTTCAAGGGTTCTAGCTAAGGCGGCTTGTTGACCTATCTGATAGAGTGTGCGGACATTAAATGAGGCTAAGTGGAAAGGAGATTTTGGTTTCAAAAATCTGATAGCCTC